GGTACTTCGGGCAATTTCACTTCCAATGCCCATCTTGATTGCAACGGAAACAGATTTCCTTTGCAACATTCTTTCCCTTGTCAACCACGGGAGCCTTCCCCTTTTCCTTCTTCTTCTTCATTTGAACATTTCTGTTCTTTGAAGGTCCAGCTTTTGCTTTAGAGGTCGAACCTCTTGGTATTTTCTTTGTGGCGGCAACGTTTGCCTCCGCTTCCTTCCCGTTAGCCTTAGTAAGGTTCTGGAAACGCTGGAGCTCATTTAGAAGGGTTGTCAAGTTGAATTCTATTTTATTTAGAGCAGCATTGGTCTGAAATGGTATGAAGCTCTTCGGAAGAGACTCCATAATAAAACTTACTTGACTTGCCTCATCAATGGTGGCTCCGTTCACTTCAGCAGTATTGAAGTGAACCATCATGTCCACAGAGGTCCCCTCCTTCATATGTTTGTTGTAAACGTATTTAAGTGTCTCGTGTCTCAAGGTCGAAAAAGGTTGCTCGAACATCGCCTTTCATGAATCCATGATTTCCTTTGCAGTCATCAAGGGTTCATGTTTCTTTGCCAATACATTAGTCATGCTGGCAAGAATGTAGAAACGAGCCTTATCGTTGGCATTGACTCATTGATCAAATGCTTCTCGAACATTTTGGTTGGCATTTGCGGCAGGGTTTGAGGACATTCCTCAGTTAAGACGAATCGTAGGTCATCAATGACTAGTATTGTATTGAGATTGTTTTTCCACGTTGAATAATTATCTTCATTTAGTTTTTCCGAAGCTAAGAGTTGAACTATTGAGTTGTTCATGCTGAAAAACAAACATACTTTAGATTAGATATAAGTTCTAAATCCAATTTTAAGTTTAGCAAATTCTAATAAAGTACCCAACTTTTATTTATATTTGCAACGATACTACAATGGTTTAGAACAGCTTCCACCGAGGAGCAGTCGACCATTCCTCCATTAAATCAAGACAATCTTGACTAAATGCTAATACCAGAATAACTCTTATTCCTATAGCCTTAGTTATCGTTTGGTTTGGTCAAGAATATACTAACTCTTAGTAATTCTTGTAAGTGTGACCTTCCACTTTCAGACTTCTAAGATTAGGATCTATATGTTCGCGGTGTTACGAATTCTATAATACCACCATCCGATTGGTAAGGTCGCTTCAAGGCAGACATGCAAGCGCATTATAGGATTCTCACGGTGCGACCTAATGGAAGAGACCGTAGGATTTTGTTGACATTAATCCTTCACCAACTTACTATGAACTACTTCCCCTATTCACCATGTTCATAACCTATGCAAACACTCTCCGAAGGGAGGCCGCTCCCAGGGCGGCACGAAGCCAAGCATGGATCTCACGTTGTGAACTCTTAGGGACGCTAGAGCTTATAGTACGTTACTAATCTCCAGCTGAAGTGTTCTAGGCAATTTAGGGTATACTTTCACTGAGGCATATATTTAGGCTAAATAAACATATCCTACGTCTAGGTAATTGATCCAAATATAACTCTTATATTGGATTTGAACATACGTTGTCTAGGTGATAAACCAGTTTTATTACCTCACACCACTCACGCATGCTCATGAAATTGGTTAACACAACTCAAGAAACCGACTCAATCTCCAGGTAGGGGGTGTTCTGTAAATCGTCAACTTAAATACCCCCAGCCTTAGACAAGATTTTATTGGGTGAGTGATCTTGTTTTACCAATTTATGAGTTAACGACATAATTTTGCCTATGAAAACTTTGCATTGGCCATTAACCTTAGTGAGCATGCATATTATCTTTGTTATGGATTTTAATGTCTATCTCTTTTATAACACTTATAAACTATAGACATGCTCCATAACCATGTATGGAATAAAATACATACATGCGCAACAGAAGCGAGCAAGGATCGAAATAACAATCCAGATGCATATTTCAACCTAGGATTAAACATGCATGATCATATATTATCATGCTTAGAGAAAGAGAGAGAAAATTACATATCTTTGTAGCTTTTCAAGCTTCTTCAAATAGCTCCAATGAGGACCACCAAGAGGTCTTCCTAGCTATTCTCAAGGCTTGGAATAGAGTGGTGGGGCTCTTTTAGAGAAGAAAAATTTAAGAGAAATATGGAGTTAAAAAGGAGTTATGTAAGCTTTTCAAAACCATCAAAATGGCCAAAGGATCCAAGAAGAATTAATGTTTGAACAAAGACCTTCTTAAATAAGCAAAATTACATGCAACTATTGCATGTCTAAGTTCACCAAAAGCTTACAACACATATTTCACTCATGCATGGCATGACTAAGTGTCAAAATGCATGTCTAAGTTCACCAAAAGCTTACAACACACACTTTTAATATCTACTGTATATCAAATATATATTGTTCCAGTTATATTAAATAACATTGGATCTTAGTTTATTGTAATACGAGTAATGCAAAGAAATAATTAAATAGTTTTTATTAATAATAAATAAAATGTTTACAAATTACAAACTCATGAGCTCAGGGCAAGTCAATGTTTCGAGTGTTCATAACTCTAGCTTGGTCAAATTACTGTTTTACCCCTAAGTTACATCTTGCTCCTTAACTCTAGTTTGTTTCTTTCTTCTTGTATTTTGTCCATTTTTTTTCATTTTCTTCTTGGGTTGTTCTGCTTAGAGCTTGAGTTTATCTTTCTCTCCTCTTCCGTTTGTATTGTTCTTGGATATTGAAGCTAATAGAAGTTTTGCTCTCACCTTGCACAGTGGATGTAGACCACATTGGTCGAACAACTATAAATTTTTGGTGTCATCTTCTCTTCCCTTATCTACTTGATTTAGTGTTAATATTTCTTAGTGGATTTATTTGGATTAATGATTAATATTGTTTGATAAAAGAAGCCGTGGTTATTGGTGTATTTTGCACAACAACACTAATTATCAAAGCAAAGATATTTCTCTCTTCAAATTCTCCTCCCAAAATTTTGCAAAACTTCGAATCTACCTTAGTGAGGTATTTCCTTTGTATTGATTATATTTACATAATTTTGGACTTTGTACTAAGGTGTAGGTGCACCCTTGAATTGTGAGAGTGATTTGATCTTGTACCAATGAAAAAGATCGATGTAGGTTGGATCTTGAACTTGCAAAAGGGCCCAAATAGAGTAGTTGATCGATTTGGTTCTCACTCATAAGAGGGTCGACACAATAAAATACCCAAGAATGAGCCTTTGAAAGTGGAGTAGAAATTTTCAAACCACTAAAAAATTTCTTAGTGTCATTTCTTTCTCTATAATCTTTTAACTTGTGCATTTAAATCTGATTTGATTTTTTGTGATTCTTGATTTTAATTTTAAAATCTAAAAGTTGGCACGGAATTTATTTATCCTTTTTAGTGTTGTCGTTCGTACCTATAACTCAAATTCAAATACATTTGAAATACTGTTAAAAAAGCCACAAAATTATGCTATATTGAAAAAAGAAATTAAAAGAAAGTTCTAACATGTTTTTAAATCCATATATAACATTTGTTATCTAATGAATTTTTTCCAGAGAAGAAAAGTAGTGCTATAAGAAAAAGTGAAATTTCAAAATGTAGAAATATTGTTTTAAAGACTACTCTTTTTGTTTTTGTTTAAATAGAAAATAGAAAACATAAAAACCAAGAGCCAAAATGGCTATCAAAATTAGGGCTTGAATAACTAAAAAAAATTATAAAAACTTTTTTTTATAACTTTCTGAATTTAACTTACAAGGTCAAAAATTGAAAACTAAAAATTTAGTTGATTATCGAGATCCTTTTCAAGAATGAAAAACCAAAAATAGAAAACAAAATTTTGATATATCTCTCCCTGACAAATTTTCCTCTAACTTATCTATTTAAAACTTCTCTTATTAACATTTTGGTTCCAAGCCGACCACAATATAGATCAACTAATTAAAACACCTATATTCGATAATAAGATTGCTAGTTCAAATTCCACCCCCACATTGTACTAAAAAAATATTTTAGTTTTAATAATTTCTCTAACTACTCTTTTCCTCTAACCTATCCTTTGCTCTCCAATTTTTCTTTCTATAAATTTACTTTCTAAAATCTTTCATAACTTTTCTCTTTAAAATGCCAACATAAACTTAGTTGGACCGTAATTTTTTTTTTTTTTAGTACAACATTGTGGGGGTGGGGGTTCGAACTCATGACCTTCTGGTCAGAGATAGGTGTCTTAACATTTGAGCTATACTCGGTTTGGCAGCTGGACCGTAATTAACATTTCTCTCTTTCTATCTCAGTTTCTTTTCCTACCTATTTGTCATTCACCATTCAATAGGAATCTAAATAAATTTGAAAAACTTAATACCCGATAGAAATAGCATAGAAATTCAAATTATAATACATATTTTATTTGATAGTTTTGGTGTAATATTATTTCTTTCTAAATTTATCATTGTAGAGCATATTAAATATTTTTCCTATGATTGACAATGTAGCATTTAAAGTATAGTTAGGAGAGCATCTAAAGCCTTGTCATCGAGTTGTTTTGGACGGATCAACTTTGATGAATGAATAGCTTTTGTGCTTTTCCTTTCAATTTGGCCAACAACTTCTTGAATCTTTGCAATTTTATGTTTCTTTGAATTGCCTGCCAAAAATATTCTAGTAAGATTGATCATGGCATTTGATTCAAAAATCAAAGAATTTATTCTTTTATCTCAAGAGCTTTGATTTAAGGCAACCCATTTCTAACCTAAACCTTAAAGGTTGAAATCGAATTGAGTGATAGTTTTAGTGTTTGTGAATTCGGGGTTCACGTACCGAAAAGATTCCTGATTCTAATTTACTATGATTTTCATATCATCTAAGGTTTAACATTTAACTTCAAAAGCTATATATGATAGTAAATGAACAAAAGATATACTAGGTTAGGTTTCTATTAAATAATACATTTTAAAAAATTATGCAAACTCCAAGAACTAAAATAAAATATTGTAAAATTTAAAAACCAAAATAAAGTTAATGCACCATAAACATCAAAGAAACCTGATTAATGTGAAATTCATTTACAAGCAAAAGAGTAAGAGTCTCTAGAATATAAGCCAAGGGAACATTAGCAAACGGTGCCCCAAAAAGATTGGTTGTGGAACCAAATAGATGACCCCCAAAGAAAGGTCTTGCTAAGGTTAAAAACTATACAAAAGTAAACAATCTCAAATTCTGAAATATAACCGTTCACAGTTGGGGGGTACCAAGTCTTCCAAAGAAAAGAATAAGAATATCCACAAAGCACTGCTAGCTCTAAAGAACATAGAATACCTGAGTACTAAAGCATTTATGCTCTCAATGTTCAAGATGGAAGACATATTCGGTCAACCGCTGCAATTTACTGGAATCTAACTTCTGCTCTGACACAATTTGTTGCTTCTTCACAGTGAGCATTTGAGAAGCAAGATCAACAATCCATCCTTCTTGTGTTACATCTGCAAATAGAAACCAGCCCTATTAGTTTGTTACCGACCACAAGGGAAGGGGGAAACACCTAATGTAATCCACATAATATAGCTATTTAAAAACCAGCCTAATTTAAGGAACGTTTATAAATTATATAATCGAACGTGCGATTCTTATCTCGAAATACAGAACAGAGTCATTTTGGCAATGTGCAAGGTAGAAAATCCCAATGGGTGTACCCAAAAAAAAACAAAAAACCCAATGGGTATGATTATCTGGAAGTTTCCATATTCTTCTATTTTTGAGTTGGTTATTTACTGAATGTTTCTAGATAAATCGGAGTCATTCACATGACCAACTTTGTCGGTATAATAATTAGTCTGCTATACAGGTGTGAGGAATAAGCGATGCAAGTCAGTTGGGACTTGGTGAGAGCTAGTAAAAGTTAGAGTAGGCAGATAATGCTTAGTGTTTCATAAGAGTGGCCTACCAAGTTGACCTACTCCAAACAAACGGAAGCAGCAGAATATATTAGAACACAAGCTAAGTCAAGAAGTCACTCAAAGTTCTATTTGTATGTCTCTAACTCTAGTTTGGTCAGTGGCCACAAACTGATGGTGAAGGGTAAATATAAAAAGATGTGTTGCATTTTCATTGTTGGAAACAGCAGTGACTGACTACAAGTGGTGTTCGGCTGAAGGCTGAATTTTGTTAGCCGGTCCCAAGGCCACCTTAGGTGGCAGTCCAAAGAACAACTTCAACCTCCTTAGGGTAGTTCGTCTTCCAAATCGCAAAGTAGGTCTTTTAATAAGATTTCCAGCATCTTTGGTCAGAGTCTGCATATCATTTTTGCAAGAATACACTCCATTAATTGGGATCCATCGTCTCCTCTCTTCAGCATGCAAGAAGTGGGCGTTCTCTGACATGACATGTTTATAAGACTAATCCAAGATTCAACTTCTTGATCATTAAGATTCCTACAAAATCCAAGGTTCCATCCAGAGCATTCAGTCATTGATGACCGCATTGATGATACCCTTCTGGAAAAATTCGAAACATTAGGATTAAGTCATCTTTTAGAATGTTCAAAGAATTTTAAAAGAATTCAACAGATAAACCATCAGACTCGATGCCTTGCAATTGCCCAAGATAGAGATGGCATTGCCGATCTTGCTTAGTGAAATCTTTTTCCGATCAATAGCTGTACTCTTCAAAATGTGGTCCCAGCGTCCTGGCAAAAATCTGGTGATCTCCTCTTCATAGTAGACTTTGGAAAAGAATTTGAACTCTGACGCAGTTTCAGAGGGATTAGGCTGCTTCCGTTCAAGAAAGGATTTCAGTAAGAAGAGGAATATTAGTCTCCTAGCAAAATGGGGATGGAGATCGCGATTGAGGAACACGCCTTATGGAGGACAATTGCTGCTAGTAAATACTGCCTCACAAAAGAGAATGGATCCCAAACCTCAAAAGCTCCATGAAGTTCAAAGGTCCTTGGAAATCAATTGTCAAACGTTGTAGCCTTGTGGATAAATGGTACCAGTTGAAGCTGGGCAAGGAAGACATACTTTGGGAAGATTTATGGCTAGGAGAGGCCACAATAGTAGCTTTTTTTCCCAAGATTCTACAGTGTGGTTAATTCTAAGGGAACAAGTTTGTGCAAGTTCTGGCAGAAACATAAATTACAAATAGTTGGAACTTGCATTTTAGAAGAAACCTCACTGAAGCAGAGAGCAATAGGTGGATTAACCTGATTGATCTCCTAGGGCACATTAGGCCTTCTACGTGAGAGGATGTTAAGAGGTGGACCCTCCATAGCGGTGGCCTTTACACAGCAAAGCTCTTGTCCCTGCTCTAACCAACTTTCATGCTCCTTTTGAGAATGCACTAATCAAGATCATGTGGAAGGCCAATATTCCCTAAAAGGTGAAGGTCTTTGGGTGTTTGTTCAAGGAAAGCTGAATACATGTGACTTGCTGCAAAGGAAATGCCCAAATGTTTCCCTTTATCCAAATTGGTGCGGCCACCTTTTCTTCCAATGGACCAACGCTACTGCCATTTGGTCAAACATTTTCAGTTATTTGGTATTAGTTGGTGTTTCCCTAAAAAGGGCAATGAAGCCCTTCTTCAACTTATTAGTGGTGTTCCTTTTAAAGGACGGACCAAAGCTCTCTGGTCTAACACGGTTATGGCTTATGCTTGCTAAGAGATCATTTCTTGTACCAAGTTGTGGAATTCCATTAGGCTCTTTGCATTCACAAGTGTTCTCTCTCTACACTTTTTTGTAATTATGTACAAATTTTGGCCAACCAGCAATCCCTTTTGTAACTTATCTCATCCCCTCTTTCTTTCTCATCATCTTTCTTCATTAAAATATCTCCTTTTTACAACAAAATAAATAAATAAATAAAAGTGGTTTCTTCCTTATAGCATTGATGAATTTGTGGAAAACTAAGTTTTCATCACTTAGCCACTAAAGTTTGCATCTTTCCACCTAGAACATTTTCTCTTTCACAGTAAGGTCGAGAATTTTCCAAGGAACCTATCAGTATTTTGCTGTTGGTTAAAACTTTGATATTCTTCCAAGGGGTCGAAATCAGCAACCTGTTGTATAACGGTATAAAGGTCATCCTTTTGCTTTTTGAATGTGCCCAAATTCTTCTGTGTCCTGGTTTTGAGCTGCTCCTTTAGATTTTTTTAATTTCAACATGAAACTAAGCCTTACCACCCTCGAGGATTACATTTACAGGAATTCCCCCAATTAGTAACAAGCAGAGTCTAACAAAGGATGCTTGAGCCACATATTCTCATAACCAGAAAGGGATGGATCCCCACTTGAAACCCACTGAAGAATGGTGGAAAGTGGTCAATTGACTCTTCCAAACCTATCAACTTCAGCATCAGAAAACTTGTTCATTCAATCATCTTAAAGGTGCTGGCGGAAAGGCTCAAAAAAGTCCTCCCTTTCATCATCGACGATTCCCAGGCTGCTTTTGTGGAGGACGTCACCTAATAGATGCTATTCTCGTAGCTTTGGAAGTGGTGGTTGACTGGAAAACGGAAAGAGGAGTCTTTTTTATTAAACTGGATCTCAAAAAAAGCTTATGACAAAGTGGATTGGGACTACTTAGATGCAGTTTTGGAAAGGAAAGACTTTGGTAAAAGATGGAGGATGTGGATGCAAGGGTGCCTCCCGACGGTCAATTTCTCTATCATCATAAATGGAAGACCAAGAGGGAAAATCCATGCTAAGAAAGGGCTGAGACAAGGGGATGCTATCTCTCCTTTCCTTTTTACTCGTGGGAGATTCTCTTAGCCTTGCTATTCACTTCTGCTGTGAGAAAAGATTCCTGAAAAATGTTGTGGTTGGTAAAAGGGAAGCTGCGATTACTCACCTCCAGTATGCGAACGACACTCTAATTTTTTGCCAAGATGAGGAAGATAACCGTAAGGTTTACCTAACTCAAAATGATGATATTAGAACAATAATCAAGGATAAACTCGTTCGAATAGCACAAAATAACAATCCCAGCCTTTTAGAGAGTGCCGGTCCTCTTCTCTACTGTCTTCCTAACTCAACTAAACATAAAAACATCAAAAGAAGTTCAACAGATAAAATAGGTACTCCCGCCATGCCAGCCACCATCATTAATGAACCAACTAACTGTCAACACGTACAATACCGCTTCTACCCCTCCTAGCATATGTATTAATGATCGGGCATCTCACAATAACTTGGAAAGGTGGTGGGCTTTTCTTAACCTTTTTATGATGGGAGCAAGCCTCTCGTTTTGGTTTCAAGGCTGATTTCCTTCCCATCAATTATTATTTGGGCGTTCAGCCCGGGGAAAGTACAAAAGAGCCTCTTTTTGGGACTCTATTGTGGACAAATTTAGGGCCAAGACCGAAACTGGAAGAACCTTATGTTGTTTAAGGGGGGAAGATAAGCTCTTGGTTCATTGGTCCTGAACAGCATCCCTTTATACGCTTTCTCCATTTTCAAAGCCCCTGCTAAGGTAATTGCCGAAATGGAGAGAATAGTTAGAAATTTCTTTTGGAACGGCACCGGCTACCACCCACAATATCATTTAGTGAAATGGGAGCATGCCTCTCTCCCAAAGATCTATGGGGGCCTCGGGATTGGTGTCTTCCAACAGTGGAATGATGCTTTATTGCAGAAATGGCTATCGAGATTTACCCAAAAAGAAGACCCCTTATGGAGGTGGGTGATTGCTAGCATTTATGGGGATGAAAATAGTGCATGGCTTCCCCACCCCACTTCGAGAAGGAAGGCTACTGGCAGCCCTTGGGTGGATATCGCAAAGCAGAGTAACTGTTTCTTAAAGTTCACTCCTTCAAAGTAAACAATGGAAGAAAGATTAAATTTTGGAAAGATACTTGGTTAGGGAATAGTCCCCTTGCAACATAATTCCCAGATTTATTTAGAATGTCGGCTAAAAAAGACAATACTGTGAGGAGCAAGCTGATGGGAATTTAGGCTTCAGAAGAGGTTTGAGAGACCATGAGATGCCCAACTGGTTGCGGCTAGTGGATTTGTTGGCTTCCTTCCGATTTGGGAATGGTGAGGATAAGCTAGGATGGAACATGGAGGGGAAGAAAAAGTTCACCACAAGTTCTGCTTTTCACAAAATTACTGAGGTCACTCCCAGGTTCCTCTCCCCCCTAGTTAAAGCTATCTAGAAGTCCCCTTTCCCCCAAAAAAAAAATTCGAAGTTTTTTTTTGGAGTGTGGCTTATAGAAGCCTCAACACTAACAAAAAGCAGCAGAAAAAGCTTCCTACATGGGCGCTTTCTCCCTCGGTTTGTCCTCTATGCTTACGGAATGCAGAGGAAATTGACCACCTCTTCTTACACTGCTCTTTCGTTCATAAGGGATGGTCCTTCATTATGAGTAAGTGCGGTATTTTGGGATGCCCCCTTGGTTAATAGATGACTGGCTCTTGGAGGTGGCTCGGAGGGGACATTAAAAGGAAAAGCTAAAGCTTTGTGGAGTTGTGCGGCTAGAGCCTTAC